CACTGAGGATGTAACAACACACGGAAACTCCTGATAGTTGCGATTATCCTCACTCTAAGTGCAAAATTGGTCACGTCTGTGACTCGAGATACAGAACCACTAAGCCATCGTCAAACCCATAGGCGTAAACTCAGGGGGGCTCTGGGGCTTCAGCCCCTCCTTCAGAAAATAAGAAAGTGCTTTACCAATTTTAAGATTAGTTTGTTATATTATTGGTTTCACCCATAAGATTTGTTGCATTAGATAATTGCGTTTACAGCAAAATAAAGTATGAAATTATTGTGAAATTAAGGTCAGATCCAACTCGAGGCGAATCCTTCAGAGAGGCTGGAAGCATCAGAGGAAATTTTTTGAGCCCCCCCTAAAAAAAAAGCCTACGCCTATGGTCAAACCTCAGTCAGTTTTTGGGTTGTGTGCACTATCTCGGAATAAACCCAAACCGCAATATTTCAAATATCAGTCCAAGTTAAGGATCTTGTAGGTTGGAATGATCTTGTAGGTCAGTTTAAAGACACTATCCCCCGACGCATTTCGATGGCCATTTAAAGCTCCCATTGGTTGGACTATACAATAGACCTATTGTTACGTACCCAATCAGCAACGTAAGGCTGATTTTCAATGTTTTCTCAATTACAAAACAGCGTCGCAGAACCTGTTGTCAATTGACTAACGGGATATGGCGCCCTTAAGGGTGGTGTTCATTCTCTGAAGCATTTGTGCTATTCTATAAAAGGGGCCTAAATTTTTACCTTGTGGAGAGTGGGTGCTCTTGTTTCACTTGTGTCGAAAATGAAAATGTTCGTTGAGTTGATTGAAGGAAGAATCAGTTTGTCCCTCTTCTTGGTTGAATCTCCATGACAGCTGGAAGAAGAAAACCATTTATTTAAAATTGAATTGTTCATTTAGAACTGGTTACGACATAGTAGGTTTTGTTTTTTCTAAGGTCTAACGAGAAGTACAAGTATTGATAAAAGAATCATTTAAAGCAGAGCTCTCAAATGGCATTCTCCAGGCAATGTTGTCTGATGTGGCCTAAGGCCTAAGGTGAAGACACACTCGAAGTCGATGGAGATATATTGTAATCATTTTAAAAAAGACAACACATTGGATCTAGTCAAGATCAAGGAAGACAGAGCATATCACAGATTGAAGGGCGATTTTTGGTATGATTTTGATTACACTAGGGAAATTATTGGGGGGGCTAAAGCCCCCGTAGCCCCCCACATCCGCGGTCCCTGGTCAAGATCGGATCCATACAGGCCTGCCTTTAAAGCCACATTACACGAGCAATTTTTCCTTGGCAATTTTCCATGACAAGTTTCCTTGCCCGTGTAGATTATAAACAAGTTTTGTTTGACAATTTCTACACATTTCGCGTAGAAAGATAAAAAATCTCTTTGACCATATCTATTTGTGTTATGGCAAGCGGAGTTTATAGGTTAGCTTCGGTTTTCTGACGAGGCTTATCATTTGTGCAAATTTTTCTTGCCAAAATGGCCCCTTTAACAAAGAAGTAACTTTTTTCGTGTGTGGGACAGCTGCAGCCCTACTCAAGTACTGTGAGTCTAAGAAAAAAATGCAGCGAAAGTGGTGGGTTCGGCCTTGGGCGAGCCATCGCCACAGACAGATCATAGGATTAGCAGGAAACTTGATTAGGGAACTCAGACTCACAGTAAGTCCAATGGTTAAAATTTTGCGTTTGAAGTCTTTGAAATTTTCATTGGAAATCTTAGCAGGCAATTATATTTCATTAGTCTACCTATTTTTGAAACTTGTTCTGTATTCCAAAGGCTTTTGCGGTTTTGCAGAGCTTCCAAGAGCATTGACGTTCCTCAATCGGTCCAGATTAATCTCGTGGCGGCCATGACAGCCAAGCAAAAGCAATTACTTACCCGGAAAGAAGGATCTAGAGTCATAGATGCTGGAGTTGAGTCAAATTTGTCAAGTTTACTTGTCAAGTTTACTTGTCAAGTCATCTACACGGGCAAGTTTTGCATATGACAATTTTTTACTTGAAAAACTGGCACGCCTGCTTTTGAACAAGTAGACTTGTCAAGTAAAAAATTGTCATTTTTCCTCAATCAACCCCAATTTACACGAGCAAAATAAACTTCTCAAAGAAAAATTGTCAAGGAAAACTTGCTCGTGTAAATGCGTCTTAAAAGAGATCCTAAAAGTGTCGGAGCAGCAGATCAAAAGGCATGCAGATCCATCTGTTCCAGTGTAAACAGAAGACCTATCTTTTGAATCCGGATCTCTTAGATTCTTTTGTAAACCGGGTCTTAACACCTATAGAACATTTTACATAGAGCAATGAAAAAGACATTTAAAGCATGGTCTCCACAAAGCTTT